CAGGATTGGCATTACTACAATATTCGCTTCATCTTAAGACTTCGTTACTGATTGTTGATGGGTTTGCCGACACTGGTGTAAGTCTACAAATTGCTATAAACCATTACAAAGTATTCTTTCTCGGCACCTTTGTAAATCGAGCCGCAGTTGTTTTAGATTTCGCTGTTATAATGATGCCGAACTTATATTTATTGTTATTTACGCTGTGAAATTCGATTGCAAGACTTTACTTCATCACACTATACAGTTACATGTGGAGAGAATGAATCTGAGTTTCCCATTCTAGCCTATGCCCTCAACTAGAAGAAACTTTTTTTCTATAATTCGATAAATATCTATCAGTAAAAACACCATATTCAGTTGGTCGGCATGTCAAATAATTCCGCTCGATTATCATCAGGCGAATCTGTGTTTCTGAGTTTTACCGTTTACTTATTATTTTACATTAAAACATTACTGTGAATGGATATGGCTTTTGAGCTTGGAAAGTCGATAGCCATGGAACATTTACAAACCATGTTTACGATTTTCTTTACAGTGTTCTTGCCAAAATTTAGCAAAATCATAGTGTGCGAAGCCCTGATTTCATTATCAAAATGCAAAACAACAACTTTGGTCGGCGTTCCAGCATAATCCTGAATTTGAAATTTGAGATTGGATTGTAATTTACTGCCAATTACTTTTTCAACGAGGGGTCACCTCTTCAACGGAGAGGCTTGGTTGAGTGGTATATGTATTGCTATTAATAACTGCTCTATAGAGGGATGAACTAAAGATTGGCATATCATGAAATACACTTGCTGCTTGTGTTTTGAAATATATATATTGGGAGATATAGTAGTTTTTTCTCCCCACAATTTCGGGTTCCAAGGCTAAGAACGAGACGGTAGTGCGACTTCCTTGTTGCCCCGGGTTGGAAACTCAATTTTCAATAAACTAATTTCGTGACAGATGGACGCACATTAGGACAGATAAATGCAATTATAAATATGATCAATGTATTCGTTTTTGAGAGATGGGATTTCCATAGATGTTATTTTGCCATGCAAGTGAAAATGCCCGCAATGTCGTCCTTTAAAGCATTTGTACTTGATGTGATTTTTCTTTCTCAAGTAAATCCAACATTCGTAGTTTTTTCTACTTTAATTTCTTGAAAGGTTAAGGCACGTAAGTTTTCTTCTTTTTCCTTTTAATCTTCGCAAAGCGAAACATATTATAAATCTGATCAATTCCTTCTTAACAACTCTCATAGCAACACTTGCTGTTTAGCCCCAGCGTCGTAGCTCTCGCGAGAGCGTCGGGTATCGATTTTCGCTGTTGGGTGGAGCGTTCGGCCCCATTTCTCTGCACTAGGCTACAATGCATTCGTTTCGTTCATTTCCGTTAATTAGGTCCTTCTTTTTGTCGCGTTTTTATACTATTTTCTTCTAATCTTCAATTTCACCCTCAAATAAATGCCTATTTTTTTGAAAATCGCCCGAAAAGTTGACGATTTCCTTGAGTGAACACGTACTTCTTCATGGTTGCTATGTAATGAAAGGTTAAAACGTGCACAGAGTTCTTATCAGTGGGTTGTAAGGTTTCTCCACGTCAAATTCGATTGCGAAACATTCTCAGTCACATATCCTGCTGTTAAGGTGAGTTGTACGATTTTCGTCCATTCACTTTTGCAAGGAAATCCAGCTAAGGATTCATATCAAAAGCATATTAAAGAACGGGTTTTGGAACGCTGATCCCAATTCATACCTCTACAGTATGATAAGCATGTGTTTGAAAAGGCCATGAAGGTTCTTCTTTACCAGAAATATCCGCATGATAAGTCTTTGTAAAAGTTGAAGTCTTTGTTTGTCATGTACCATTCAGGTTTATAATATGTTTTTGTGTTTTTTTTTTGTAGTTTAAAGTCAAAGCTATTGGGTTTATGTTAAATCCGGTTTCCTGTGATAGAGTGAATCTGAGCAGTCATAACAAGCCTGCATACTGGCTGAAGAGATAATGAGTAAGCTTTTGTCAGATAATTAACAGGTGAAGAACGTGCTGTACTTAACGCTATGACTTCATCTTCAAACCCTCCATGCCGTAAGACTGAAATGAATGTTCGCCCTCTTATCGACCCTTGTACATTTTTACTACTTGGCATCATGCTATCGCCAACATAGATAGGGTGATAGTGCGTGTGCATCATACTAAGTACATATCTTGAGTGAAAGTTGAAATGAATTAGCAGGAGTTGTAGCTGCAATCTTATGGAAGTGCTATGCTGGCAGAGGTGACAATCCCGCAAAATTTACTTTCTTTTTTGGTGTAATAAGCGTCTCCCTATCATTTATGGATGATTCATATGTGGGTGGTGTAGGTCTCTCACTAGCACGTTCACTTTATGGACTAGTTCCATCGAAGCTTTCAAGCCGGTTTATCGTTCATGAAGTATGGCAAATTCTCTGTAAGGAAATGAATATCAATGCGCTAAGAACATGCTAATTGCAATATGATAAGCATGAGATGTGCTAGGTTGGTAGCTCGTGCGAATGTTGAAAAGTTCGGCGTGATCTTACAAAAGTTCCTCAATTGTGGCTTGTTCTAAACTTGCCAGGACTTCTCATGGAGTGATTTATTCCATTGACATATCAAAAACTGATAAGACATGTATTTAGTCATCTACCACTGTAATTCTTAAAAATGGCAGGATAGAGTTGACAACGGCTATAGGAGGCGCTACAAGTGTCTTGAATAGAGACATATTCAATTGTTCATCAGGTAGTTTCTAGTTCCTTATCTCCACTTTACGGCAATATGCTCAAGTTTGAAATTTGAACTTGGCACCCTATCCGATTTTTGAAATCTAAAAAAATTTGCATGTAACTTCTCAAGCTGGTCGTCATCTTGTTCTCATTCATTGTTCTTGCTTGCAAGCATTTATGTTATAAAGCAAGAATAAGTTATTCTTCTCGTGACGCCTCTTGTTAGCATGGTATGTTGATACAACGAAGGTTCCTCCCTATTTATGAACTGTTTGGGTATTTTATGAGCCCACCAATGAACATCAATATTTCGTCAGGCTGTGGATCAAGAGTTATTGTTATTTTTCTTTTCTCCTTCTCTCTGTCACGGCACTCAGGTTGGTGCTGTCCTTTGGATTATTCTTCGCAATTCGTTCGCTTGAGTTAGTTCATTTTTGATACGTTAATTATCAGATGATATAATCACTTTTGGCGTTTCCTCGTTAATTTTAAATCTAGCCATTATAACGACGGCAGTGCTTATTTTATTGCAAGAGACAATTGCCTTATACTTGAGTTATTCTAAATGCGTTGCAACATCCTCTAGCTTTTCTACGCTACTTATACCTTAAAAAAAAGGTTAGGAACGAAACTGTTGTTCACTATCGCGTGCAGTTGCCTACATTTTGGATGATTGATGATGTATCGGAATTACTAAGCAAGCATTTGATCCTTCGAATGTTTCGATGAGAGGAACTATCGTAGGCAACGGCAGATACATCTATTCATGCTTAGGGCTTCCTGATACCCAAACATAAAGCGTTTAAATAATTGAGAACTGTTGTTTTGCAGTGATTATTCTTGTTTGTTATGAGTAAGCGCTCGTTATCCGTAACCTTGACTACTACATGATTTACATTCACAGTTTGTGCGAAAGAGGTTTTTACGCGTTTTCAATCGATTTGTTAGAAATCTGGCTCTTCCTTTCTATATGCTAATGGCTATACAGTGATGTTTTTTTTTTTGCATTCTGCGTTAGGAGGTGGATTGTTGTCGCAGCTGAACTCTGCTCGTTCGTTGTTCAGCTGGTTGAAAAACTAGCGAAAATAGATAATGAGTTGGCAGAGTGCTCATTAGCACGGAAAAATCTTACTGAATGCACGTTGCGTTGCTCTTCACTTTCACTTTCAAACGTTCTGCTTTTGATTGTTGTAATAATCGCATATGTCCATATTTGCGTCAATTACCTATTTGATAACTCCTCAGTTTCAGAACAA